TCTTTCCCTCTCTCTCCTTTCATACATATTGGGGCATGTGGCCCTTCTGAGGTGCACATACCATGTCAGCCCTCTCCAGGCCCCCCTTCAGCACTGTGGGTCAGAACAAGGGGAGGCGCCCAACTGGCATCGAGCAAAAAGACGAGCCCAAAGCTGCTTTTAACCATGTTTATTGAGAGAGGGCAAGGGCTGGCGCAGGTCCTCAGCCTGCAAGTGGCAGCATCTTGTCCCCAGGCAGGGATACTCCAGCTTCTGCTCAGCCCAAGAACGTCAGAGCCCCCTGGAAAGGAGAAGCCTGGCTTGAGTGTGTCCCTGAGAGCAGGTCAGGCCCTGTGCAGGGAGGGACCTCGGGGGGAGGCACAGTTTTTGCTCTGGTGGGATTCTGGGTGGATCATGATGCCTGCTCTGCTGGGACACGCATGGGCAGTATCCCCTAGACAGGTGCATCCCTACCTTACCACTCGCGCCCTCTGCAACCCCACACCGGTCAGATATGGTCCACCCAGTTCCCACCCAAGCCACCGCGCTTCTCCCGGGGGCGGGAAATGAAGTGGCCCTGTCATGAGGCCAGGTCCCCTGGGTAGGGTTTAGAAGAGTGGATGGGGTGCTTCATGCTGGGGAGGCTGGCTGGGAGGATGGCGTGCATGGGGTGGGAGGGGGTGGGAGAGGAGGTGCCAGGTGTTCCCTTTACCAGCAAAGACTTCACTGCCCCTACGGCCTCAGGGCCCAGCTCAGTCACACACTTCCTGGAACCCTCCACCAGATGCGCCACGGGGATGCCCAGGCTGGCCAGTATGAACGTCAAGGGGTTAAAGCCCTTGAAAAAGGGCTTGGTCACGGCCCCAGCACCGGCCTCCAGGGCCCCAGCTCCAGCCTCCAGGGCCCCAGCTCCAGCCTCCAGGGCCCCAGCCCCGACGTCCAGGCCAGGGGTGAGGGCAGCTGCAACTGGGGCCACAGGCTTGGCCCCCGAGCCCATAAAGAAGGCCACAGCTGCAAACACAGTAAAGAAGAGTTGCCCACCAATGCCCAGGTGCCCAAGGAGAGCTGCTGAGAACCCGTCTCCCCCAGGAGGTGCCCAGGGCGTTGACAACCTGCCAGCTCCCCTGCCGACCCACCCACTCCCTCCCTTGCTGACCAGAGAGCTGTGGCCCAGCCAGTAGCTGGCTGGACAGAGGGTCTTAGGAGGTGGCCCGAAGGAGGGGGGAGGGGAGGGGAGCCCTGTGTGGGGCCCCTGACAGGCTTCCCAGAGGAAGGGACACCCAGGCTGTGCCTTGGAGGATGACGCAGAAAGCAGATGGATGTTCCCAGACCAGGCCAGCGTTCACACCAGCCTAAGACTGGGAGATCCTGGAGTAGGCAGGGGCCTGAAGGCTGGGGCGGGAGGGGCGGGATCCAGAGAACTGGCCTGCTCCCTGGGAGTTACTGGATGGATGAGCATTAGGAGCCTGGTGCCCCTGGTACAAAGGCAGCAGGGTCAGGACAGCTGGAGTGGGGCCCGAGCGCACTCACCGGAGTGACTGAGCAGGGCCACACCGAGGACCAGGAAGGCAGCGATGAGCTTCATGGCGGGCTGCAGCTCAGCGGATGCTCGTGGGACCAAAGACACCCTTTCTAGAGCTTGGCCCTGAGGCCTTCATATACCCCATCCCCAGGGCTGGGCCTCCCCCACCCTGTCCTCCTGAGAAAGGTGCTGTTTGCTCAGCTAATAGGCAAAGCCCCGGCCAACTTCCTGCTCAGGCAGGTGGGCCCTGGGAAGCCCATGCCCCCAGCCCTGCCCGGGTCTCAGCACTTCCTCTTGGCAAGGTCCTCCATGAGTGCGGGAATGAGGCTGTGCTTTGTCTGCCCCAGGCCCACCCAGGCCTCTGCCCTTCCAGAGAGCTTCCTGTCCTGGGCCCACCTGCAGTGCTGTGGGTCTAGAAGGGTCAGGGCTGTGACCCCAGGCCTGGAGATGTCATGGGGTCCTGGCTCCTTCTGATCCTGGAGAGGCCAGGGAGGTTGAGTAGTCAGGCCTCACTCCTGGCCACCTCCCTGGTAGGGCCTCGGGCAGCCACCAATGCCAACAGAAGGACCCCGGACAGTTTTCCATCTTTGAAATCAGTCTTGACTCAGAAGTTTCACGTATCTGTCATTTACAGAGCATGAAATGAAGAACAAGCAAAACAACCTATGACACAGTCTCACCAGGGGAAGACCTGGCTTTTCAGGGAGAGTCCGGAATACCCCGCCTGGGTCACAAGCAGGTCTTGACCTTTGCAGCCTGGCAGGTCTTCAGCCCCCCTGAACCCCTGAGGCCACATTCACCTCTGCAGGGGCTTCCTGCTGTCCCCACACAGCATGTGGCTCGTGTAGCTGTGGTGGCGTGTGTACACTCGTGGTCTCCACTCGTTTCTTACATTTTTCCTTGACTGATTTGGGAGGTTTGTATTATAAATGTATGTTTTGTTGGCCATTGTGGAAATAATTTCAATAGGACACGCATTTTCAGCTTGTGAAAATTCACCTTCCAAGGGATTTTCTAGAAGGAAGCCTGCTCTCAAGGCAGGGACAAGACATCTGCACCACTGTGGATGCGGCAGGGTAGCAGAGGCGGTTGCCCTGTGGCCACACCCATAGTGCCCAAGCCTTATCCTCTCGAGGGGACACTTGCTGAAGGTACTGCTCACGCCAGCCCCCTCCTGAAAAGCCTGGGCCAGCTGGTGGGGTGGCCTCCTTCCACCAGTCAGGTAATGCTGCCTCCCCCACGGGCAGAGGGTGCTGGAGCCGAGGAAGACCTGAAGGCTCCCCAAAGTGGATGCTGGTTCTGGGGCGAAAGGGACAACAGCACAAGATTGTCCTCTTGTCCCTTTGAAACTTGGGGACGGGGGTCTTGCAAGAGCTGGCGTGGTTCACGCCAGTGTGGGATTGGGGAGAAGCATTGGCAGCTCCCAGGGCTGTTGGACCACTCAGGTCCAGCTGCAGCTGCAGGAACCCACACCTACTGGGTCCTGCGGTGGGTGTGGGGGTTCCCCCACGAGGGCTGAGGTCACACTGCCATTTGCTGTGGGGGCTCGAGTCACACTTTCATCAACGAGCATTTGGTTGTGGGAATTGCAAGTGGGCCTGCTCTCCTGATCAAACACTGGCCGGGCAGGGACCCCTCCACGCGGGTCACTGGCCAAAGTGCTCAGCGTAGGCAGATCTTGGGAGCCGCCCTGGAGCACTTTCCACCCTGCAGACAGGACCACAGGGAGCTCTCCGCAGGGACAGACCAGAATGGAGCCAGAGGCCAGGAGGAGGTGGAGGCTGCCATCTGTGTTCCCAGCATCACTGCTTCCTGGGCACACACATTCCAGTGGTCATCCTGTATCCCCTTCCCGGTGCTCTTTATCTTTAAAATTCCCCCAACCTCCTCCTGGCCTCTGGTGGCTGGAGGGACCTGTCCCTGGCTTCCTGTGAGTCCACACAGTGATGGTGGGCCTCCTCACGTGCACCCCAAGATTTCCAACCTCAAAAGTACATCCCACAGCCACCCAGCAATGTGTGTGTCATTGTGTCCCCATTCTCCACTGAGGAGGCCACGCGGCTTGCCCCAGGTCCCCAAGCTGTAATGGTTAAGGCGAGGACCCACTGCAGGCCGGCCCTACCCTGACACTGGGTCTCAGTGCTGCCCCTTCTGAGCCACCTGGCATGGGCTGGCTGACAGTTTGGCCTGAGCCCAGGAGGCCAGCATGATGGGCCAGGGGACACCTCTGTGTTAATTTCCTGGGGTGACTAATAAGTCACCACATAGTTGGTGACTGAAAACAACACATTTATTCACTCACAGCTCTGGAGGCCAGAAGTCCCTTTAACACTGGGCCGAAATCAAGGTGTTGTCAGGGCCAGGCTCCCTCCAGGGGCTCTATGGCCTCTCCCAGCTTCTGGTGACTGCTGGCATCTCTTGGCTTGTGGTGGCATCACTCCAGTTTCTGCCTCTGTGTTCACATGGCCTCCTCTGTCCGAAATCTCTCAGCCTCCCTCTAACATGACATGTGATGTCGTGTTCAGGGCTCACTGGGTAATGCAGGATATAATCTCCTCATCTCAGATAATTAACTTCATCACATCTGCCAAGATTCTTTTTCCATATAAGGTAACATCCAAAGGTTCAGGATTTAGGACTGGATAGCTGTGGGGTCCTTCAATTTCTGTGTGGTCTCCTTCCCTGCCAGACCAGCTGAGGAGCCAGGAGGGTGTGAGAGCCCAACTGGCACAGGGAGAGGGTGCAGGGATGGGCAGCGGTTGTCAGCATCCACCTGGACTTCCCTGAGCCACCCCTGTAGACCTACCTCCTGCTGGGAAAGGGCTGGGGTGACACTGAGGTGCCCCTCCCTCCTGCAGATGACAACGGTCAGCCTGTCCTGGGCAATGTTTGCAGGATGTCCTTTGGGCCAAAGCAAACATTGGCACCTGGCCTGCTCTTTCGGGAATAAAGTGCTGAATGAAGACAAGAACTTTGGTGGCCGCAGGGCATGGGCCGAATCCTGCCCATGAGCTGTGCAAAGACCGCGGGGCTCACCAGGCCCGGGAGCCAGGCGCTCAGGTGGGGTGCTGTGGCCGGGAGCTAAGGGGCACTTGCCAGCAGCCTCTGCCTGGGCCTCCCTCATGGCTCTGACTCCAACAAACACCTGTAGCAGGTGTCTGGCAGTTGCCCTCATACAGTGACACAGGCAGTGAGGCCAGCAGCCCCTCCGTGTCTGGCTGGAGCCGCCACACATGGCTCCCCACCCCTGAGGTTTCCAGGGCTTCCTTAGCCTCTCTTCCTTTTTGGTCAGTCCAGTGCCTGTTCTTCCAAGTCCTGTCTAAGAGCCCACTGAGTGACCGATTAAGTGACCTGGAGCAGGCTGTGGGCCTCAGTGAGGGCGGGGCCGCTCTGGGCCACCTTGTGGGCAGTTGGAACCCCTGTTCTGGGCCATCGTCTTGGTTACTGAGCATCATCAGTGTCCTCTCGGGGAATCCTCAGTGGCCACCTTTTGCTAGTTTTCTACGATGACTCACTGTTGTGTAGACTCATGTGGTCACTAAAGTTTGGGGGCTGGTTTGGCCAGCCCTGGGCAGCGCGACAATCTTGTGCTTTAGGACATGTCTGTGGTGTTGCTCAAGTATAAACTGCTCCGATTCCAATCTCTGTGGCCGATGCACATGCAGCCCTGGTGCCACAGGAGGTGGGCACAGGTGGGTAGCCCTGAGGGGGTCTCCAGCTTCCTGGGACCCCTCCAATAACCTGGTCTGGGACACCCTCCAGCTGGCATGGCCACCGTCACAGTGGAGTCCTTCTAGGCCAGGACACCTGCCAACAGAAGACCCCTCTGTCTCCTGCCATGAGTCATCACCAGGAGAACAGGTCGGCACGTCCAGGGCTCTTCTGGGAGCTGAGATGAGGCTATCCCAGTGGAGCCCCAAAGTGACTTGAGGAAGAACAGGCCAGGGACAGGGCCAGAGTGGAAGGGTGACTGGACTCACCAGTGTGCTGCCCAGGGTCAGGCTATGATCTCTGCCAGCACCCACCTCAGCTCCTTCCTCTTCCTCATAGCTCAGTCCCCTAGGCCCTGGGGTTGTGGGCAGTGTCACCAGCATGTCCTGTTCCTGCCTCTGTGGGCACTTTCACTTGGGTCAATATTGATCTGGCTCCATTGAGTACTTCCTTCTGTCCCTTCCCTATCCAAGGGAGGGTGGGAGGGTGGGCAGGGTCAGCTGCCAGCACCCACCTCAGCTCCTTCCTCTTCCTCATAGCTCAGTCCCCTAGGCCCTGGGGTTGTGGGCAGTGTCACCAGCATGTCCTGTTCCTGCCTCTGTGGGCACTTTCACTTGGGTCAATATTGATCTGGCTCCATTGAGTACTTCCTTCTGTCCCTTCCCTGTCCAAGGGAGGGTGGGAGGGTGGGCAGGGTCAGCTGCCGTCCACATGGTTTTTGCTGTGTGGGCTCTGCGTAAAATTGATGGAAAAGCTCAACTGCATGGCTTAAATTAAGCAAAGACTGAAATTCTGTTTTGTTTTGTTTTCAGAGAGGTGTCTTCTCTGGGGTTATAAGCTGGCAGCCAGCAAACCTCAGACACTGATTCTGGCTCAGGGGGATAAGCTGCTGTCCTCAGGGGCCTCCCATGTTGTTTCACAGGGTCCCACTGCTCTGAGTGGCTGTGCTCACCACAGCAGCTGTGGCCAAGTCGTGTCCTGTGTAATTAGGTCCAGTTAACGGGGGCAGCCTGAGCTAGACTGTGGACTGACAGTGAGGCCAGAGGTGGTTCCCTAAATGGAATGGGATTGGGGACATGGATAGCATCACTTTACCAGCCAGAAGAAACGTAACTTGGAGAACATCAATGACCTACTCAAGGTCCCGTGGCCAGTTGCAAATGGGTCTGCATGCTCCCCCAGTTCTCTTCCCAGACCTGGTGACCCTCAGGCCTGGAATATCCCTTACTGACCAGCACCCCATGCTGCCTCCATGCACCGGGGCTGGGGGCAGCCACCTGTCAGGTGAGGGGAGGGGGTTGGATCAGATCACAGAGGATGCCCAAGCCCAGACTCCAGACCAGGGCCCCACCCCAGAGACGTACTCACTGCCACCCCAAAGTGAGGCCTGTTCGAAGCTGATTCAACATTAAAACCCAAGGGTTTAATAGCAATCCCTTCTGTTACTCCTGTCTCTCAGAGGCCATGGATAGGACGATGATACCTGGCTGTGCCCAAGAGGAGCTTCCTTTTAACAGGGGACCGTGCCCAGCTGCTCAGCTGCACAAAACCCAGCTCTGATGGACTCTGGCAGCGTCCTAGAGCAGCGCAGAGATGTCACCCTGGGAGCCTCACCCATCTGGCTAAGTGGACCCTCACGATGCTGCCCCATGGCCTTCTGAGTCCCTCACTGCTCTCCGGCCTTGCTGTGTTCCTCCCTCAGCTCGTCATCATCCCTTCATAACCTGCCCCCACATCTTTATGGCAAGCTTTGCCACCGCCGGCTCCAGCTGGAAAGTACAGGAATGTCTGTCTCCCCCACAAATGCTGGCTCTGAAGGGACAAAGGGTGCACTCTAGTGAGGTCCAGGACAGGAACTCACTCGCCATGCAGTGATGGACGAAGACGGTTGCTCCTACACTAATGAAGAGGGTGCTCCCTGACTTCCAGAACTGCCCATACAAAGGATGTCTCATACAGGGATGCATTCTCCCCTGTTAACATCACTTTGACCTGAATCTTTCTAAAAACGGGCTTCCCACCTCTCCTGCTTTTTGTCCCACGTTAGCTGCGAATGCCGCTGTCCCATTCTCAATAGCTGCAGCCCCGAAAGTTCTCTCTGTGATCCCTGAAAAATGGATGAATGAAGAGATGGATGGGTAGATGGGTGGATGAATGATCAGTGGATGAGGTGATGGATTTCTGGGGGATGGGTATCTGGGTGAGTAAATGCAGGGGAAGGGTGAGGGTTGGATGCCACTGCAGACAGTGTCTTTCCCAACTGACTTTTAATGTTGCTTTTGAAAGACATGACTTGGTGGGGGCAGGGCTTCCTCCTCAGTGTGGTCACTCTTAGGGGCATTTAAACTGTTATCTCATCACCAAAGCTCTGCAAGATAGCAAATCACAGATTGGAAAATGAGTCCCTGAGGAGCATTCCCTGACCCAGGGTCACCCAGCCTCAGGTGCCACTTCCTCCACTGTCAACCTTGAGCAGCCCCCAGAGCCCAGCCTGGCCCAGGCTCTCTGTCCGGCAGCTCGGGGCACCAGGGCTTCGCTCAGTGGTCCCCAGGGCAGACCTCCCTCTCGGTGACGCTGCAGTCCCCTCTCTGAACCTGCACGTGGACATCTGGTGGGACGGGCCCCTGATGTGGGCACCGCCAGCAACTTGGACACTCTGTGCCCGACTATATGAGCTGAGAACTCGGCTTCAAGAGTCAGCCTGGACCTGCTGGGGAGCAGTGGCCTGGGGGTGGTCCATGGGGGTGGAGGAGGCCAGTGTTTGTGGAGGACTGCTCTTGTAGAATTGTTGGGAAAAAAGGTTTTTTCTATGTATCTAACATGGATATACATGGATACATGTATGTAACATGTATCTAACAAGGGCCCAGCTAACACAAGAGCCACGCCCAGTGTCACGCCCTAATCTGCAGCCACCACTGTGCCAACTGCTCACTTGTGAAGGCATATCACACAGACATCACTGGGCAGGGCTGTGGAGGGCGCTGCCACACTCTGCTGGCTGGAGCTCATCTCCCTGGGGGTGGGAGGGGGATTGAAATTGAAGCTGGGAGCCCAGCTCAGACCCCAACCTCAGAGTCCAGGCGCACACTCAACCAGCGAGGTGACCCCGGGTATGCACTGCAGCACTCTGGGCATCCCAAGTAATCATGGCACCTGCTTCATGTGAGGAGACGTGGGAATCTGGCAGCAGGGACCCAGCCTGGGCAGTGTTCCCAGGCCCATGGGCCACTGGTGCTGAGAGCCAGGGGCAACATTCGGCTTTAGGAGATGACGAAGTACCATGTCACTTTAGACATAAAGTAAATTTTAGGGGAGCACCATCACAGTGCTGGGCACTTCCTGGTGTCCTGGTGCCTCCCCAGTGTCCTCTGCTGGCGGCTTTGGGGAGAGGGGGCCCAGCTCAGCAGCCTCTGCCACCCTGTCTTTTGGTAGCCTGTCCAGTGGCCCCATGGGGCTGACGACTGGGCTGGAGGAAGGTAAAATCAAATCTTTGCAGAGAGGTGGGACTTAAGTGAGAACCCATTCATTGTAACTCAAAGACTGGCATCAGATTTATTATTATCCTGTTAAATAGTTTAGAACTTTTCGGAGCACATGTGTACAGGGCTTTCTTTAGGTTTCCTTCCCAGCACATTTTTATGTGTGCAGTTGTGACAGAAGGGGAGGTGACACAGACAGCTGGCGTGTACATGGGGACGGGCCTGGGGGCCAGGCCCTGTACCTCCATCACATGCATGGCTCCTCTAACAGCCTCTGGACCCCTCCACCAGTAAACCTGAGACCCAAGTCTCACAGTCAGGTGACTTCAAAGGAGCAGGTCCATTGGGGGCAGCGAGGATCAGTCACAGGTGCGCTGGACATAAACGCAAGGAACAATACACAAGGGGGGAGTCTGTGGGCAAGCCCCTGCTTGCTGCATGGCCGCCTGTCCTGCAAGCGTCTCATGGGGTAGGGTTGGGTGTCAATCTCTGTGCTGCTAACTGGGAAGAGGGTCTTTCTCCTGCCATGGGTTGGGGTGGCTGGGCAGTGTGAGCTGGGATGGGGTTGCTGAGAAGACTGCAGAGGGTCCTCGGCTGCTCTCCCATGAAGGCAAAGGTTTGAAATGCCAAGTCACTGACGTCAGGACGGGGGGCGGGGGGGGGGCGCAGAAGACAGGTCCCCCTGAGGCCATGAGAACGGCCTCTGATTGCCTTGTGGCATGGAGCAATGCTGGGTTGGTCTTCTGGGCTTGCCCTGAAGCCTTCCTGGGTAGAATCCATGGTGTTCACCTCTCATTAGGACATTCACAGTGTGGGATGTGCCTTCGGTGGCAGACCCAAGCCCTGGAGGGAAGAGCCAGGCGTCTCTCAAATGGGGCTGCCTTAGACCATCAGCTGCTCCTTCCAATTCTGGGCCAGGCAAGGGGGCTGAGGCCACGGTTGCTTCTGCTATAATGGCACCAACTGCAGGTCAGAGGCAAGAATCACCTAGATTCAGAAAGACCTTCCCTGGGCTCCCTACAAACTGAAGTTCTGAAAAGTAAATTCACAGCAGCTCCAACAGTCCCTGAAGTTCTAATGAAAAAAAATGTGTAGAGGCGTTCTCACAGGCAGGGGAAGGCGGTTGTCACTGGCAGCACTGCAGGGACCACTGCCCCCCAGATGGCTAGCTGTTTGGCTGGGCTCAGAGGAGGACTCCCCTCCCTCCATCCCTCATTTGTGCTTTGAGACAAGGATATGGCACACTCTCTTCAGCCCTGGAGAGGCAAGTGAAGACCTTCCCCAGGGAAGGGAAGGCTGCGTGGAGGGACAGTGTTTGGGGAGGCAGCTGGGAGGTTGCAGCTCAAGTCTGGCTCCACCTAGATCACTCTGTGACTGTCAGAAAACAGGGCTCACGCCACCACCCACCGTGGTGAGCAGAGGCAATCAGAGGGGCATTCCTGTGGGAGTGCCTGGCCCAGGGCGGGCCCTGTGGACAATGAACTAAATGGAATGTGATCTGAAAGGAGAAGAGCCCTGGGGGCCCGTGGGGCAGCCCTGGTGATGGCATTTGGGGAGCCCTGGAGCCTGGGTTTTGCTATCGTAGCTAGGAAGGGTGTAAACAGGGATAAGGAAATGCCTCCCAGCTGAACCAAAGGAGATGAGTTCCAGCCTGGGCCTCCAGCCCTTTGTACACCCCTCCAGGCATGGCCTGACAACTGTGTGAGGCCAGGGACCTGTGGGCCTTGCCCCAGCCTCCTTAGTCGCTGTTGTCTTCAAAGAAGGGTGCTCGGGCTGACGGGGTGCAATCGCCCTCCCCACGTGGCCCGGCCAGCTCCCCGTACTCGCTGTTGTAGAACACCTGGCCTCCGTGGGCGCCCCGGTCAAGCTGCGGCTGCTGCCCCTGGGTGTCAGGGTGCGCCCTGGTCACGTCCACATTCCAGCTGGGTCCTTTACAGCTGCTGAGACAAGGAAGGTGCCGTCAGTAGGACGTGAGGAAAGGAGGGACGGGACCTGGGGCAGGTCTGAATGGAATCACCAAGGACACACCTGAGCGCAAAGTCAACAGAGACGCACAAATTCCACTTAAATAGAAAACCAGGTTGATGTGAATGTTGGCAAACACTGGAATTTTCTCTGTCCCAAGCCTGGGTGTGGGCCAATGGAGAATGTCCAACTTCATGGCCCCAAACCTGCTTCTCGCCCAGTCTTGGTATCTCCGTAAATGGCACCAGCACTGACTCCGTGGTTCACACGCCTGACTCTCATCCTTACTTCCTCCCTTCCCCGCATCCCTCATATCCAATCCGTCTGGAAGTCCTGTCTGTCCTAACTCTGAAATGGATCCCTGCCAGTCTCCACGTCCTGCCCTGTCTGAGCAAGCAGCCACCATCATGCTCTGTGCACCTCCTCCCAGCACACCCTCCTCTCCCACTCGGCCCTCCCTCCAGTCAGCGCCTCAGAGATCCTTGAAGTTAGAAGATGTTCTTCTCCTCCCAACAGACTTCCATGGCTTCCCATCACTCTCAGAATGAAGCTTCTCACTCCGGCCTAGGAGGCCCTGAATTCCAGCCTCGCCTGCCTCTCTGAGGGCCCTATGATGCTCCCTCCTTAGCACTCATTCTTTCAGTGCTTTGAAAATGTTGCTTCGTTGCTTTTGTTTTTGTTTTTGCTTTGCATGGTGCTATTGAAGAGCCTGCTGCCAATCTGACCGCCCCACCCCTTATTTTTCTTCATGAGTTGATCTTTTTGCCTAAATTCCCAGAATGTTTATCTTTTAAGTCTAATAGTTTGGTTAGGATATATCTCAGAGTTTAGTGTCTGGGCCAGTTTTCCCAGATATAGACTCAAGTCTCCTTTTATTAGGAGAGTTATCTTGAATTACAGGTTTAAAAGATTAGTTATATTCCACTGTCAGCATTTTCTTCCTCAGAGACTCCAATTTTATACATATTGGACCTTTTCTACTCAACTTCTATATCACTTGCTTTGCTATTTTTTTAACCTCTTTATTTATTTCTATTTTATTTTCTTGACTTTTCATGCCCGTCTTCTGTCCTCCACTGTAAGTCTGATCACATCTATTGTTTCTTAGGTACCCTGGTCTTCATATTTCAACTTCTTTCCTGAATTTAGTCAGTTTCTATTTGATATCTTCACATTGTCCATTTCTATTCTAAATTTTTGAATTTCCGATTCATGAAGTAGCTGCTTATTTAATTATACATTTAAGTCATGTTGGAGTGTTGTATCAGTTTTTCTCTGCTTCATTGTTTTGTTTTTTTGGGTTTTTTTTTAAAGATTTTTGTTGGGGAATTGGGGGATGGGAACAGTGCTGGGGAATTGGGGGAAGGGGAACAGACAAGTTGCTGTCCTTTTGTTCTTCAGTCTAGTTGTGGAAG